CATCATCATCATCGTCAGCATCATCATCATCATCATCATCATCATCATCATCATCATCATCATCATCATCATCATCCTCAGCATCAGCATCACCATCATCATCATCATCATCATCAGCATCATCATCATCATCAGCAGCATCATCATCATCAGCATCATCATCATATCCTCCTCCTCGTCCTCCTCCTCCTCCTCCTCGTCCTCCTCCTCGTCCTCCTCCTCCGCCTTCTCCGCCTCCTCATTATCCCTCCCTCCCTCACGGCCCTAGCGGTCCCGAGTCCGAGGGGCTCCCTGGGGCAGGCGGTCGGCGCCCGTGCGCGACGTGCCGCGCCCACGCCCGCCGGGCCGCCCTGCCACCTCCTCCTCGCCTCGCAGCGGCGGCGCCGCCTCCTCCGCCTCCCCTCCGCATCCTCCTCCTCCTCCTCCTCCTCCTCCCTCCTCCTCCCTCTTCCCTCCTCTTCCTCCTCCTCCTCCTCCTCCTCCTCCACCACCTCCACCTCCACTTCTTCTTCCTCCTCCTCCTCCTCCTCCTCATCCTCCTCTTCCTCTTTTTCTTCCTCCTCATCCGCCTCCTCCTCCTCCTCCTCCTCCTCCTCCACCTCCTCCTACTCCTCCTTCTCCTCCCCCTCCTCCTCCTCCTCCTCCTCCTTCTGCTCCTGCTCCTGTTCCTCCCTCCCCCTCCCCCTACGTCTCCCCCCTCCCGCCGCCCATCCCCCAGGGGCACACCGTACCGCCGCTCAGGGCGGCAGCGGCGCACCTTTCAGGGACAGCTTCAGGGCTTCGCCCAGCGCTTCCTGAGACCCGCCCCCCCCCCGCGCTTCCCGCCGCTCCCCCCCCCAGCCAGAAGGGAGCTAGATATAGGGAGGTAAGGAGGGAAGGAAGGAGAGAAGGAGGAAGACAATGAGGAGGGATGAGGAAACGGCAGGAGGAGTAGTTGAGAGGGGGGCGGAGGGGAAGGAGGAGGAGGAGGAGGAGGAGAAATTGAGGAAGAGGATAAGGAGAACAAGGAGGAGCCGGAGAAGACCCTGGGAGGCGGGAGATGAGGAAAGGGAGAAGAGGGATAGAAGGATGGATGACCGAGAAGCAGGGACGGGAGGAAGGAGAAGGCCAGGGTAGGGTGCAGGAGGGAGGAGGAGGTAGAGGGTGGAGGGAGAAGGAGGGCGGATCGGTCGGAGGAAAAAGGATCAGGGAAGAGGGAGCACCGCAGAGCGAGGGGAAACGGAGGAGGAGGGCGGGAGCAAGACACGGGGAAGGAAGCGAGGGATGGAGGGTAGGGAGCGAAGGGGAGAAGGGCGAGGGGGGGAACGAGGGCGAGGAGCAGCTGGAGCAGGAGACACAAGGAATAGGAGGGATAGGCGCGACCTTCAATCAACACAGAAGCCCTTGCAAATCGCATCTCGCAGACTGGGCGCACATTGGCGGCGGCGGACCTGCTGATGCTAGCCAGCGTCCACACTCCGCCTCCTCCTCCTCCTCCTCCTCCTCCTCCTCCTCCTCCTCCTCCTCCTCCTCATCATCATCATCATCATCATCATCATCATCATCATCATCATCATCATCATCATCATCATCATAATCAGCAGCAGCAGCATCAGCATCATCATCAGCAGCATCAGCATCAGCATCAGCATCAGCATCAGCATCAGCATCAGCATCAGCATCATCATCATCATCATCATCATCATCATCATCATCATCATCATCATCATCATCATCAGCATCATCTTCCTCCTCCTTTTTGACGTTGCGCTAACTCAAGGACAGAGCCTGAAGCGTTAGTTGTGAAAGAATGAATAACGGCAGACCTGTGCCCTGCAACAATGCAGAATAAAAGAAGGCACCTCCCGGTTGTAGAAGCATGGAAATGTGGAGCATCCAGAGCATGCTGCAGGCACAGGTGAAGCAAGGAGCGTCCCAAACCACCACCTCATTCCATCTCATCATCCCTCCCTCCCAAAATTCTTGGTCAAGGTTTGCAGTAGACAGAACAGAAGACGTGCAAACTAACAGCTAGGTTGGCACTGACTGTGCTGGCTGGCCTGAGGCAGTGCACGTGCTAGTGTAAACGAAAGCTGGCATGCGTGTAAAATCAGGCGCGCGCGCGGCAATTCTTGGGATGGCACCCAGGATGCTCGGCTCACCCCGAACCTCCTATGTCCCGTGACCCACGCGTTCCTCTTAATCTTCTTTCGGGTTCAGCACGAACTCTTTTTGTGACAAGTAACGAGCAGAAAACATGTAGTAGGGTTGCCATGCAAATGGCCGGCCGGCGGATTACACTGGTACTTATGCTAGTCTTCATCCCCGCTGCCGAACTCAATACCTCATCAATCACCTCCATCACCCTCCTCCTCTAAGGTCGGGCATGCCCTGCTACAGGCAGATGTTGGAAGAAACATGAAAACATAAAATGGGGGCACGACACATCGTCACCAGACTATGTTTTAAAATCCTTGGATCTTCTTTCTGTAGAGGGGCATGACCGACTCGATCCTCTCCT